ATTTGATGTTTTTTCTACATACTCACTGACCTAGAAGTCAGGAATTGACATCATGACTCTTTTACAGTTGAAATTATAGCAGTGAGAATGGGAACAAATGAACACAGTCCTGTAGTTTGGAGGTCTAGAGAAAGACATGTTAAGCTTCACTCATCTTTCTCTTATCCCCCTAAAAGAATGTCAGTATCACAGATGAATTAAGTTGTACCAACTGTGTTAATTCCCTAGGTTGAAAGTCCTTCAACCTGCATCATATTACCTAGTTAAGTGCAGGTAGGAATAAGCCAGATGAATTACCTCAGTAGGATTTGATGGTCACTGCACTTTAACTTAGCAGGTGCTAACTTAACAAGCACCTGTAGGCCTTAAGTTCACCACGTATAAGCACCCTCAACAACCCAAGACTGAAGGAGTCTGATAAAGTACCTGCTTTAAAAAGAAAGCTACATTTTAGGAAAAGAATACAGACTGCCTTATCAAAAACAAGATAATTCAAGGATTAAAATAAATTTGGTTTTAGTGAAATTCTGTGACTTTTGTCATTTATTTGAGTGGGCTGTGTGCATATTATTACACGGGGGGGGGGGGTCAAAAGTAGGTTAACAGTTACTTATATGAAAAATTATATATGTGTGTGTGTATATATATACACACACACAAAAACAGGGAAATATGCTAATTAACCGGGACACCATTAAGGGTTGACCAGACAGGAGGAGGTTGCGCGTGTGCAGTGTGTGTGTGGGGGGGGGGGGGGGGAGGGCATGCCTGCACTGGGGGAGGACCTAATCAGCAGCGGCCATGACTGCTTCAAGGGCCGGAGAGGGAGTGGGCCGCACGATTCTGGGCTTCTAGTATAATTAATAACTATCACTACAGTACTAAACTGTGTTTCATGTGCTCAAAACTGTAAACCTACTTTTGACCCACCCTGTACATATGGTTTCTCTGTGCACTCAAGCCACTAAACATTCCCTCAAGTTTTCAATGTCTCTTCACAAATTTTTGTAAGAATGCTGGCCACAAAACTGGACCAGTTTCTATTCCACTACAAGAAACAGGATATTTTTTCCTAGAAGGCTGAGTTCAGGGTGGGGAACCTTTTTTCTGCCAAGGGCCATTTGAATATTTATATCGTTTGTGGGCCATACAAAATTACCAACTTAAAAATTATGTTGCTATGAAAAAAGCTCCTATTATTGAATTTCAAGTCCTGCCTGTGGTTGCCTTGGCAGGGCCCTCACCAAACGTTCCCAACCTCTGCCTTCCAATCAGTGGAATTCTCTTAAAAAAAAAAAATTATTATTTTCTCTACTTTCAATTAGATAAGTAATGTATAATACATGCAAAAATTATCTACTCTAGGATTGGTGTCTATAATTTTTTCTTCAGTAGAACTAGGTTGTCTTGAATATTTAATACCTAAGGTATGATTATAAAACAAATAGATAAAACATAAGTTTTTTCCAGGAGAGGTAATATTTTCATATAGATCTTTTCAAATAGCTATGTGCAATTCCTCTAGACTGGACCTACACTTGACTTTTTAAAATGCCTAAAGACAGTGATGGGATTATGACTTTTATTTTCTACGCACAAAACTGACTGACCTGGATTACATCTATCTACTGGGCTTTTCCTAATCAACTAAGTGAAATAGCTCAACTATCTCAGAGTATATAATTAGGACCAAGTATGCAGGCAAACTAAAAGAGCTAGTATTTACATAAGCATCTGCTGGATATCTGTCCAGATATGTTACTCACAAAATTAAAGTAGCAAACAATTCAGACATTTTAGTAAATGCAAACAAAAATGTTTGTGTGCATCTAGCAGACTCAGTGTGGCAAACAAATGTTTACTGAATGAAGATAATTTTGGTTTCTTTAAATAGTTTAGTTATGCATTCTACAATATTGTGGGTCAGTTGTATATACATGTGTTTTCATTGTAAGCTAGCCCCAAGTCTTTCTTTCTGAAAGCAGATAAGGGCATAAATATAAAAATGCATAATAATTTTGAAACAGCCTAGACAGAATTCTCGCCAAGCCTCTAAGTTACTCTTCCCCAAATACCTGAGCTCATCTGTGGCATCAGGATTAAATGAGGCAACAATTTGTGAAAACAGAAAGATTCTAACAGAATTTACTCCCTCAAGTTGCCTAACTAGTAACATCACCACATTTCTGTGAGGAAATAAAATTCTATGCCACTAAATATTTAATCAGGTTTGTGAACATTTCCATGCTGGATTGAAGGAAAGTTTGGTTTTGGACCCATTCACCTAGGATTTCTGGCAGCAGGGAGTAATGACAAATGTGCTGGGGAAGGGGTTTGGGGGGGGGGGGGCGCGCAGGGACATCTTCTCCACCCCACCCCCACCCTTACTGAGGGTTTCCTAACTCTCAATATAAAGCGCACTGTCCCACTCTAGCTGATTTGACTCAGTGAATAAATAGAGTGTCGGCCTGCGGACTGAATGGTCCCAGGTTCACTTCTGGTCAATGGCATATGCCTGAGTTGTGGGCTCGATCCCCAGTAGGGGGCGTGCAGCCAATCAATGATTCTCTTTCATCATTGATGTTTCTATCTTTCTCTCCCTCTCCCTTCCTCGCTGAAATCAATAAAAATATATTTAAAAAAAATAAAGCGCACTGCCCCAAGCCACACACTCTACCTACAGGGTACCTCGCTATCTTCTACCACTGTTTATGTTACTAAATCTTGCTGTAAATAATATAAAAATATTAAATTCTCTATGAAAAAAGTGAGCTTCTAGGACTCAACCACACAAGTGCCCCAGTCTTTGATAAAGAGAGCAGAGGGACAAGGGTGGAGAAGCACTGCCTCCTCAGTGCTTCCTGGAGTCCACTGTAGCTGGTGAAAATATGAAGATCCAAGCAAGGTCAAGTCTCACTTCCGCGTCATTACAGGGGCTCTCATATCTAACAAGAATGGCTAGATGCCCCCTCGAGTCTCTTCCAGCTCTAAACCACAGAAAGACTCAATTCTGGAAGCATTTCTTAGGATTACAAGTTTGGCTTAGAATTCCGGTAGTACATTCTGCCCTAATTTTAAAAAAGGCAATCAAGGTAATTTAAAATAAGTGGGGTTAAGGCCAGAAAATTATTTTGAAACTTCAAGATATTTGAATATGAAACTATTTTTGCCTTTTCCTTACCAAATAAAGAAATTTATCTTCACTTGTTTAGAAATTATTATGGAAACATGATTTTTTAAAAATTCCCAATTTCTAATGAAGCACAGAAAGTTTTTTTGTGTTTTTTAAGTTACTAGATATACATTTATATTCCAAACACATACAATCACCTTCTTTAAGATGAAGACTTTCACCCACCAATGGGAGGTGTTTGCAGACAGCATATAACTAGCAGGGAGCATCCAGGTCACTGAGGGCCTAGACCCTGAAAACCAGGATTCGCCCTCTCCCCCTTGCCACACACCCACACCCACGCCTACACATGCACACCCAGGTTATAAAGTCTAGCTCTTATGTAATCAGTATAAGCTTATTAAGCATATATCAAATCCAGTATTGAACACTAGCCATTCAGAAAATCCAAGTTTCTCTTGGGGCAGGGAGGTAACCCACAGAATCAATGTTCTAACATTATGATAAAAGGGAGCTGATAATAAAATGCAACCTAATCAAATGCTCCCTCCCTCCCTCCCCCGCCAAACAGACACACAGACACACACACACCCCTTTAGAAAGCAGGAAACTTAAGAACTTCTTCCTATGATGGGTGGTTTGGGTTAGTGCTACTCACCAAATGAATTTTTAAAATACTTCGTATCAGCTGGGTTCACTGGTCTCCTTTTTGAGCTTTACAACAAAAGTGCATGAATCTACATATACTATACTATTAAAATGGAAATTTCAAAAGTAAATTGCCTCTCAGTAGCACTTGGCTTCCATTCATACTCAAATGATGTCCATATTCAAATAATGTCCAGTTCTATCAATTCCTGAGAACCCTGAAAAAGTACTTTTACCAACAGATCCTAAAGCAAAAACACACAAAATATGATAAAGTTTTTAAAAGGTGATATAATTTTTAAAACTAAAATCAACCTAATTATGAGCCACAGACTTTAGAAACTAATTTCTGTCCTGTTTATTTTATACCTATCTTCATAAAAACATTTTTTAGTTTTCTAAAAAATACCTTTACCTCATTGCATTTACTTCAGATTATTTTTAAAGGAAAAGGTTCCATAAATAGAGTTAAATAATATTACCCTTAATTCTCCTGATTTTGTTTTCTTAACAAACTTAGCAGACTTTTGGAACTTAATACTAAGTTTATGTGACTTGTTTTATATTTTGTAAGAGAATCAAGATAAAAAAATCCCAGACATCCAAATAAAAAAATACATATATAAAACATCCAAATAAAATATTTTTAAAAAAATTTAGACAATATCCATTTCCCCTTCTATTTCATGCTTACAAAATCTTTTTGTTTGCAATCATAGAAGAAAAAAGACTGCAATCACATTTCTCTATCATATATCAGAATAAAATGCCAGTTTCACAATATTGGTTTAGTTTTCAAAACTTTTGGCTAAAACAATAAAAACTGTAAGACCTTTAAATATATTTTTATTCCTCAATTACTGCACTTAGATGCAAAGAGAATGTGAAACCAGATACATTTAGTTTAAAACCAGTGGGGTTTTTTTAAATTTTCAGTTTAAATCAACTTCATTTTTTTTTCTAGGCACAGGCACAAAGTTATTGTTAACTAATAAATGTAAAAAGGTAGAAAGATGGTGTAGTGTAAATGAGGGAGAACAGGTAGGCAAAGATTTCTGTTAAACCTATCATTTAAAAATTAATAAAATCCCTTACGACACTACATTTTCCAAAGAAAAGGCATTAGCCATTTTCTTTTGATGGGTGTTCTCCCCTCTTCTTGTAGTATTATCCAGACTGAGCAAGCAAAGTGACCAGGACATAGGCGGATGTAACTCACCAGGATACCAGCTGGGGCCTTTCCATAGTAAACATCTTCAGTTTTACTTAATGAATCTTCATGAACCTTCTCCTCATCTTCACTATCATCTTCTAAGTAAAACATCTTAAAATTGAACTAGCTTATCAAGCATTTCTTTTTTCAAAGATGAAGGCACAATTCTAAATTATCAAAACGGAAAGCTGCTCTGCTGACAAACTGTTTGCAGACACAGTAATATGGTTAAAACTGAAAGGAAATGGTTCTTTAAAAAAAAAAGCAATACATACACGACTTTACCAATAAGATTTGCTCAAAACGACTCAACCCCTTCTCTCTGAAGGAGATAAAAAAGGGCATGGAACAGGCTGTGCCATGTGTTTACACTGATAGGTACCAAGTCCTACCCAATCACATGACGGTCACTGCAGCTTCCATTACACACAACAGGGATTGAGTTAATGATTCTCTAAATCAATCACATCCTTGTTTTTAGATAGAAATAAAAACAACTATAATATGGAGAAGTATGCTTATATAAAGTAGTCATCCAAGGGAAAATCATTTATGTATATTTGTAAGTATCAACGAGCTACCCAAAGACAGCTGGGTTATATATGCTTTATAGAACTCAATTACCCAAAATTTTTTACTTTGTCATACTGGCATGACCCAACATATTTTCACTATTTTGGAAGAGAAATAGCTTGCTCAGGACTGTAAATAATGAACAAATAATAAAGTGTTAACATATTAAGTATATTAATATTATTATAATTACATTGTTACATAATCTACACTAATAAAAGAGAAACATGGTAATTGGCGTACGACCGCTACCGTTCCCATTGGCTAATCAGGGCAATATGCAAATTAACTGACAGCCAAGATGGCGGCCGGCAGCCAGGCAGCTTGAAACTAACATGAGGCTTGCTTGCTTCAGTGACGGAGGACTCCAACGTTCCCCTTCTGCAGCTGCAGGCCTCTGAGCTGGCAGTTTGAAACATAGTTACAAAAATAGAAGCTAAACAAAATGCCAGAAACCAGCTTTCAGCTAGCCGGGATCTCAGACCTGGAGTTGATACAGTGTTTCGATTGTAGAACACAAACAAGCCAGATACCTGCTTTCAGGAGGGGAGGCCTAAGAGCTGGAGCCTCAGAGCTAAAGCTGGCTCAAAATAAAAAAAGAAAAAAAGGAGCAGTTGGGAGCTTCAGTCCCAGCCTGAAAACAGCCCTCAGCCCCTCACCCAGACTGGCCAGGCACCCCAGTGGGGACCCCCACCCTGATCCAGGACACCCTTCAGGGCAAACCAGCCAGCCCCCCACCCATGCACCAGGCCTCTAATCTATATAGTAAAAGGGTAATATGCCTCCCAGGACCGGGATCAGCGGAGCCGCGAGGCCTACTGGCACCAGGATCAGCGTGACAGGGGGCAGCGCCCAAACCCCCTGATCGCCCTGCGGCTCTGTTGTGACGGGGCGGGGCCACAACCTCCCTATCGGCCCTGCTCTGTTCCTGGCAGGGGAAGGCGCCCCAACCCCCCGATCAGCCCTGCTCTGTGCCTGATAGGGGGGAGTTCCCCAACCCCCTGATCGCCCTGCGGCTCTGTGTGTGACAGGGTGCGGCACCCCAACCCCCCCCACCCCACAGGCCCTGCTCTGTGTGTGATGGGGTAGAGCCATAACCTCCCCATCGGCCCTGCCCTGAGTGTGAGAGTGGCGGCGCCCCAACCTCCTGATCGGCCCTGCTCTGTGGGTGACAGAGGGCAGCGCCCCAACCCCCTGATCGGCCCTGCTCTGTGTGTGACAGGGGGCGGTGCCCCAACTCCCCTATCGGCCCTACTCTGCGAGTGACGGGGGAGCTCCTCAACCCCCTGATCATCCCTGCTCTGTGCATGACAGGGTACGGAGCCCCAACCCCCCTGATGGGCCCTGATCTGTGCGTGACAGGGGACAGCGCCCCAACCCCCTGATTGGCCCTGCTCTGTGTATGACAGGGGGTGGCGCCGCAACCTCCCCATCAACCCTGCCTTGAGTGTGACAGGGGACGGTGCCCCAACCCCCCAATCGGCCCTACCCTGAGCGTGATTGAGGGTGGCATTGCAACCTCCCGATCCGCCCTGCTCTGTGCATGACAGGGGGTGGCGCCCCAACTCCCCAATTGGCCCTGCTCTGAGCCCGACCAGGGGCTGCACCTAGGAATTAGGCCTGCCCTCTGCCACCGGGGAGCAGGCCTAAGCCAGCAGGTCGTTATATCCCGAGGTGTCTCAGACTGCGAGAGGGCACAGGCTGGGCTGAGGGACCTCCCCTTCACCCCTGAGTGCACAAATTTTTGTGCACCGGGCCTCTAGTAATATAATAATAAACCATTTATTTAACTTAAAGAGTATGACAATGCAACACTGTAAAATTCAAACATTCTTGGAATTTCTAGCTCTCAGTAAGTCAACATAGGAGCTTCAAGTGAATTGTTTAAACAAACCTAAAATACAGATGGACAAAATGTATTAATTTTTAAATTAAAATATACTATTTTTATTCATCAGTATCTAGGACTATTCTGTTCATTACAAATAGCCACTAGCCATATGTGGTTATATTTGCAATGTGGCTAGTACCAATTAAGAGTGCTATCAGTATAAAATACAGACTTAGAATAAAAACAGAACGTGAAATAATCTTATTACCTTTTACATACTATATAGGTTTCATGTTAAAATGATAACATTTTGGATATATTGAGTTAAATAAGATATATTCTTAAAGTTAATTTTACCTGCTTTTTTCTTTTTACTTTTTAACATTACTAGAAAATTTAAAATTACATATGTGGCTCCCATAATATTCCATTAGACAATACTACTTCAGAACTCTAAGACAATCTTGAGAGCAAGGGAGGTAAAAAAGGATATTCAGCCAAAATCCTACTAATGAATAACTAAAGATGACAGAATTTTTTTTTCATCATTCCATAAAAGTATTTTGCTATAATTCATCAACAATATACTAGTTGGTCCTCTAACTTTTAATGATGTTCATATTGTTAAAACTTTATTTCTACCTTTAAACATTACAAAAAGATAAAATTTCCAAATGGTTGACAAAATAAACAGGGGTTGATAATGTTTACTGCAACAATATATCACTAATATACACATAATAAAAATGTTAAATGGCAGAATTAAAAAAATTCACCAAAATCAGAAATGGGAAAAGTTTCCTTACGTTCAATTTGTTACACTGCTTGCTGCCCAGCCTACCAAATATTAATTTGAGCCTAGAGTACATGAAGCGCCCACAGGCACTTGTAATCTAATTCAATACGCATCATGTACACAAATTCCTCCTTTCACAAGAAGTGATTTTTTGGAAAGTCTAAATATTATGCATTGTATAAAAATCCAAACCTCTTCCTCCATGTAGTTCTGCAGTTCTGAATCCCTGACACCAGAGAGTAGTAAGAAAAAAGTGATACTGGGGTACTGCCAGTGGGAAAAAAATGGAAGGAGAAATAAGAGGTGGGAGACAAAGGAGATTAAGGAGAAACTATATAAGAAGGTGATGAAGTGGGGTGGGGAGGGGAGAAAAATCAGAAGAAATAAAACTTGGAAGAGATGAGAAAACATATGGGGGAAAATTTAACTAGGAGGGTAGATGGAAGGATGAAGACACAGGGAAAGAGAAAAAAATGGAGAAAAACCTCATCCATTTTATTTTATATTTAAATTTAATTTAATTTATTATTTTTATTTTATTATTTTATTTTATTACTAGAGGCCCGGTGCACAAAAATTTGTGCACTGGGGGGGAGGGGGGTGTCCCTCAGCCCAGCCTGTGCCCTCTCGCAGTCTGGGACCCCTTGGGAGATAACGACCTGCTGGCTTAGGCCTGCTTCCGGGTGGCAGAGGGCAGGCCCAATCCCTAGGTGCAGCCCCTGGTCGGGCTCAGAGCAGGGCTGATTGGAGAGTTGGGGCGCCGCCCCCTGTCATGCACAGAGCAGGGCGGATCTGGAGGTTGCAATGCCACCCTCAGTCACGCTCAGGATAGGGCTGATTGGGGGGTTGGGGCACCACCCCCTGTCACACTCAAGGCAGGGTCGATGGGGAGGTTGTGGCGCCACCCCGTCACGCACAGAGCAGGGCCAATCAGGGGGTTGGGGCGCTGCCCCCTGTCACTCACAGATCAGGGCCCATCAGGGGGTTTGGGGCTCCATACCCTGTCACGCACAGAGCAGGGCCCATCAGGGGGATTGGGGCTCCGTACCCTGTCACGCACAGAGCAGGGCCCAGCAGGGGGTTGAGGAGCTCCCCCCGTCACTCACAGACTAGGGCCGATAGGGGAGTAGGGGCACCGCCCTCTATCACCCACAGAGCAGGGCCGATCAGGGGGTTGGGGCGCCGCCACTGTCACACTCAGGGCAGGGCCGATGGGGAGGTCATGGCTCTACCCCGTCACACACAGAGCAGGGCCCGTGGGGCGGGGGGGGGGGGGGGGGTTGGAGCGCCGCCCCCTGTCACACACAGAGCCGCAGGGCGATCAGGGGGTTGGGGAGCTCCCCCTATCAGGCACAGAGCAGGGCTGATCAGGGGTTTGGAGCAACTTCCCCTGTCACGCTGATCCCGGTGCCAGGAGGTCTCGCGGCTCCGCTGATCCGTGCTGGGAGGCATATTACCCTTTTACTCTATAGGATAGAGGCCTGGTACATGGGCGGGGGCCAGCTGGTTTGCCCTGAAGTGCCGGGAGCCGGTCCATGCTTGCTGTTTCAAGGGACCTGGCATATATAGCATACTGTTCTTAATATGTTTGCTCACCTTCTTGGCACTATGTGTTTTAACCAAGGTCTCTGAGAAAGGTTGTTTCCCCAGGTAGGGATTTTCCCCTGAAGTTAGGGAGGGAATAAAACCTCTTAACTAGTGCCAGGTGGGTAATTAATCACTTAAACTACGAACAATCATGCTTAAGTTACATAATCTTTACTCCCTGGAATGGAGATAAGAAACGCCCTAACCTTTGTAATAGAGATTGATAGGATTGAATCAACTGGTATAAATACAGATGTAATAAGACAGCAAGAGTCAGAACTTAGAATACAGAACTTAGAATACGGAACCAAGAGAGACAGAACCTAGGCACAGAACCTACACAGAACTAGAGACAGAAGAACTTCGCTGGAGAGAACATGGACTGAACCTGACTACAGAAATGGGCAAGAGAACCTG